TTTCTTTGTTAAGATGAATAGTTTCAGCCGATGGTGAACCTGGCCCAGATGGACTACCTGGTATTCCTGGGATGGCCCGCATGGCAGAAATGTTCCCGATATTGAAGGTATGCGTAAAATGTCCACAAGGACCGCCAGGACCAGCTGGACCAGACGGACCTCAGGGACCCGCGGGACCTGTGGGACCTCCAGGCAGAGACGGATTCTCTGGTGGAGTTGGTATCGCTGGGCCACCAGGACCACCTGGAGATGCTGGAGAGGACGGATCGCCAGGGGCGCCCGGCGCAGATGGTCAACCGGGTGTCCCTGGCACCATGCATATGCCGGGACTACCAGGACCTCCTGGACCACCTGGACCACCAGGACCGCCTGGTGTAGCAGGTCCGCCTGGAACAAATTCAGGTATGAACTATACTATCTTTTACTATTGAGCTCTATCAAGTTTCCACGTACACATGATTGAAACTGCAGTTTCAGGACCTGGATCCATTGGACCTCCAGGAGCCCCCGGACTTCCTGGAAATCGTGGTGCCAACGGTCCCCCTGGAGTTGCAGGTGGTCGAGGGTCGTATGGTCCTCCTGGAGGAGATGCTGCTTACTGTCCTTGTCCTCCTCGTACAGGTGCCGGTGGCGGCAATGCAGGATACGCACCACGATTGCTGCCACCAGGTGCTGGTGGCGGCAATGGAGAAGCTCCTACAGGTGCTGGTGGCGGCAATGCAGGAGCTGCTACAGGTGCTGGTGGCGGTAATGCAGGAGCTCATACAGGTGCTGGTGGCGGCAATGCAGGATATGCTACAGCTCCCAGTGGCGGCAATGGAGAAGCTCCTACAGGTGCCGGTGGCGGTAATGCAGGAGCTCATACAGGTGCTGGTGGCGGTAATGCAGGAGCTCATACAGGTGCTGGTGGCGGCAATGCAGGACATGCTACAGCTCCCAGTGGCGGTAATGGAGAAGCTCATACAGGTGCTGGTGGCGGCAATGCAGGAGCTGCTACAGGTGGTGGCGGCAGTGCAGGAGCTCCCACAGGTGCCAGTGGCGGCAACGGAGGATATATCGCTGAAAATTCATCAGAGAACGCTGTTAAGAAGGACACCAACTGATCACACATTCTACACGAAGCTGAGAATATTGCTAAATAAATACTGTTTGATTTGAACTGTTTTTCAAACTTTCTGTTACTGCTAGGAGTAATTCCTACAGCGAGAGAGCGAGTGAGAGGTAACCTAGCCGCACTGGTGTGCGGCTAACTTCAGAAAAATAACTGTGCCGACCAAGGAGGCTTCGGAAAGGTTGAGTCACTCATCATGTCAGAAAAACTGGAATGCAAAGGTCTGAGGAGAAGTAACAATGTTATGATGACTCATCCACCTCTAAGAGCGCGTTC